CAAGCTTTAGGGCTTGGCAAGGTTGATTTTTATCTTCACTAACAAGAAACAGTTTGGAGCATGAAAAAGGCACCTTTGGTTTCACTGTTCATCCAAAAAAGAAGCCAGAAAAGAGAACAGTTAAGGATCCAAGATGTAGACCTGCTGAGATTGTTGTAGTAATAAAAGCATAGGCAGAGAGAAACGGATCTGAGAGATATCCATGCATTCAAACCCACAGGATAGCATTCTGTATTGGGCTGGACACAGGTAGGTGGAGTAGAAAAGAGTGAGGTGTCGGGATAAATCCCAGAGCAGTGGTGTTACCTTAGTAAGAAGCAAAAATCAAAGGAAAGAAACTAGAGAGGTGAACATTCCAGGTAGAGGAATGGAGAGACACAAAAGAACTACAAAGGCAGGGGTATAACTTAAAAGGAGATATGTCCATGTGCAGAGACAAGAACAGAGACTCAGCAGGAGCCACTGTGGGAAAACGAACAGGGAGACAAACAGAAAACACAGGGTGGAAACCAGGTAGCTTGGTGTCAAGAAGAAGGTTTGTTTATGCCTAGACATCAGCCAGGAAGAACTGCTGGGCATTTTAATGAGAAATGATGTGTGTGAATAAGCACAAGTTAAGTTGTCTCCTTGGTGTGACAGCAGATAAAAGGTAGATTCAGGCACAGTGAGGGGTTGTGGATGAGACCGTAGGAAGGAGATCATGAGGAGGCTCAACCAGATGTTCACAGATAGAAGGATATCTACCGATATTATTTAAATCAGGTAGAGGGTGGATAATGAAATCCAAGGCTAGAGAAGTGTGAATGGCTGTCATCTTAAATATTATGCAGTCTGTGAAGAATTAGACAGCTCCCTCTCCCTCAGGGAATTTACAGTCTGAGGAGGGGCAAGACTTTGCTTCTTTTTAGAAGCTCTGATGAGTAATAAAAGATGGGGGGGTATGGAATTTCAGAAGCTAGAAGTATAATTCTCTTTGAAGGGCTCACAGTAAACCTGAGAGGAAGAGACAGAGGAAGGGAGGGAGCAAGCCAGAGAAACTGAGGGAGGAAGGGAGGAAGGGAGGGAGAGAGAGAGGCAGAGAGAGAGAGAGAGAGAGAGAGAGACAGAGAGAGAGAGAGAGAGACAGAGAGAGAGAGAGAAGATTAATTAGTAGTAATTGAGAGAGCACATTAGGATATAAGTCCAAGCTCTTGTTTCTCTAGAAGAATCCGTCCATGACAATTGCTGACTTTATACTATAAGGCATCTGGTTCCCTGTGTGGCTTTGTTTCTCTACACTGGCAGCCATCAGAGCTAAGCATCCCCTGAAAATCACGCTAAGCAGACGCATTGCCCTCTTAGGAGTAGTTAATGAAGGTGCTAATGAGATTGGCCTAACCTCTGATCTCAGAGAGCCCTGGTGGACACCCTGGCCTCCCGTAGTCTCTGATGCCACTCACAGCTGCCTTTTGTCGGTTTCACTGTTATGTTCTCTGACAGTTTTCAATTCTGATGACAGCACTCATATCCAATTCAATTTCTAGTTAATATCACAGGCTGCCCACCCCCTCAAACTCTGTCATAGATTTCCTGGGATGCCATCAAATAACACAGGCTGCATTATGTATCATAATTGTAATAATTATAATTCTACCAGGAACCTGGTCAAGGACCTTTGAATGCTTTATTCTCACCACTCTAAATAGGGCCATTTATAATGATAGCTGTGGGCCTGGTGGTTTTGTTAGAAAAGAAATTGTAATTGCCCATTGCTTTTCTAGAATCATAGGAAGTAGACATTTCAGAATAGGAAGAGGAGCAGGAGGTTACCTGACTACTCTTCTCTCTGCCACACATTTAAAAATGTATATACAGTGCTCTCATTGGCCCATGCGACATGCTGAGGGCCAATTACTATAACTATCCTGGAACAGAGGGGATTGTGTTTCAGAGGAGTCATCTGAGACCTTCAATATGACAAATCTGATAAGCAGCATGTGTGACCAAAGGCCAACTCTTCTGGGTCTTAGGTGGCTTCACTTTGCACTCTGTCTTGTTGATAGAAAAAATATGAATATTCCTACAGAGGTGTCAGGGTTAACTTAATGGAAGACATCTATCATTGAAGTGTACCAGTGTAATCAGACTTGTGAAGGATGAAACGAGAGTTAGAAAGCGAGGTACACACTAGTCAACAGGCTGTGATGTTAAACACTGCCTATACCACTGATCAGAAGAAGCTCAGGATATGTCCAGGTTGTATTGGAGCTATGGCCTGCTGGCCCCAATACGTTAACACTTGAAGTTCCAATTCCTTCCAGCTCTCAAGTGTCCCTTTTGGCTGGAGGTTGAACCTAGGTAGTCACACATGCCAGGCAAGTGCTCTATCATGGAATTGTACCTGCCAGCTCTCCTCAAGTTCTAATCTTTATTATTCTATATTTGTCAAAATGCTTAAATTTTTTCTTCTTTTTTTTTCAGGTTTTTTGAGACAGGGTTTCTCTGTATTGTTTTGGAGGCTGTCCTGGAGCTCACTCTGTAGACCAGCGTGGCCTCAAACTCATAGACATTTGCCTGCCTCTGCCTCCCAAATGCCGGGATTAAAGGCGTGTGCACCATCAAGTATTCTGAGTTCATATGTACATTTGAAGCCATACTCATATCAGGCACCAAAGTACAAAGTACACATCTAGCCATTATTGTAATTGATATACATGTAAAACAAGACATAGTCAAAACTACTACTGAATTTGGAGAACATGGAATTTTTTTCTCTAATGTGATTTGGGGAGACTTTCTGAAAACTACAAGACTTCTTCCAGCTATTAAAAAACAGGTAGCTTTTATCAGGTGAAAGCATTCAGCCACTGATCTCCAGGCTAAAGCACCTGAAGAATGGAGAATGAATAGAAAAGAATGAGACTCTAGTATAGCTTTTAAATTTAATCCCTCCTTACTTTAAAATTTTATGCTTATTATTTATGCCCAGACTATATTTCTGGGCAATATTTCTGGGCATACTACTTATGCCCAGAAAATGTATAGTATAATCTATTTTTTAAAAACATACCTGTGTAGTTATATTCTCAAAAATATTTTTAATGAAAGTAGGTATCAGAAGGATACAGAAAGCAAACACTGGACAGAAAATGATTTTATTATTTTTTAATGGTTACTAAGGAGTAGGTACTTTGTATATTTTCAATTTCATTATTGTCTGTGCTTTCCAGTTTCCATTAACTCTGGTCACTTTGACTTTGTTTTTCTCTACTTTTAGTAGGTTCCTAAACTGTGCTAGATTGCTGATTGAACTTTTCTTCTACATGTGTGCGTGTAAGTGCCTAGAAGGACGACTCAGCAGTTAAGAGTGATTGTGACCTTAGAGAGGATCTGGGTTCAGTTCCCAGCACCCACAACAGGTGGCTCACAACTACCTGTTACTCCTGCACCAGGGCACATGATGCCTTTTTCTGGCCTCACTCACCACCTGCATCCATAGGCACATACACACAGACATATACACATACAAATATAATTAAATAAATAAATAATAAAATAAATCAATGTATGCTTGATTTTATACATATCCCTGCTGGCTATGTTTTCAGATATAGCCAATGAATTTTGATGCTGTCTTATTTCATTTTGTTCAATGGATTTTTAAAAAATGTACCTAAGGCAACTGTTTGGACTCCTGGGTTCTCTTCACATGCTGTTTAGTTGGCATGCACTTAGAAGTGCTGTGGCTGCTTCTGTTAATAAGCTCAAATTGGAGTGTATTGTAGTTATTTCAATTTGTCTGAACTTGCCGAGGTTTGTTTTATGGCCCAGGATTTGGCCTCTTTTGTTCATGTTTTTGAGGTCTTGAACAGAATGTGAACTCTGCTGCTGTTGGATGGAGCATTTGGCAAATATTGACTAGATCCTGCTGATGGATGCTGTTGTTGGGCAATTCTGTATCCTTATTGACTTTCTGTCTTGTTGTTCTATCAGCTGTTGAGAAAGACCATGCAAGTTTTCAGTGTAATTGTAGATTTATCTATTCCACCCTTCCTTTTAGGTTTTGTCTCAGGGGTTTGGCATTTTATGGTTTGGATTCATTTGCAATGCATTCTGATGGATTAATACTTTTGTCAGTGTGTGTTGTCTCTTTTGGTGCCTGGGTGGATTAATACTGTAATCAGTGTTTGTTGTCCCTTGCTTTGTCTGGTAACTCTGTCATAAAAGCACACTTTATCTGATGTTAATAGTGAATCCTCCTTGTAAGTTATCACTGCTGGAATGATGTATTTTCATACCTCTGGCTGTCTGCTTAGATATCAACAATGGCTTTCTTTTAGATAAGGGCTCAGGATTCCTGGTTTACAGAGGACTACCTTGTGAGCACCACAAAATATCTTTTTAAAGTTAGCATATTCAGTTCTTTTACATTTAACATATTTATTAATGTGATGTGTTTCATTTAATGTTTTTTCTCCTATTAGATTGTTTTAAATTTTGTTTCTGTTTTCTTTGTCAAATCTTGAACATTGTTTTATAATTTCATATTGATAACCTCTATGTGTGTGTGTGTGTGTGTGTGTGTGTGTGTGTGTGTGTGTGTGTGTGTATCTGGTGCTGGTTTGAAACATGGCAATATGAACCTGATAGGCAAGCGCCTATAGAGTTATGTATCAATCTTTGTGACTTACAATTATATCTATTTGGTGGTCTTCTTAGTGATCTCTCTGGACTCTATCCCTATATTGTATATGAATGACATAGTGCAGTCTACTAAATGTAGATTTTTCCTACCTTATATTATAAGCCTTATCTTCTTTTCTGGCCTTTCTTGTCCTTCTTTTAAATCTTTGTTTCATCAAAACATCATATATGGTAGACCTTTAAACCACAGCGTTCTGATTCCCAGATCTATCAGGAATGGAAATGTTGACAGCATGGTTGGTCCCTAGTAAGGGCACTCTCCATGGCTTGAAGGTAGCTGGTTTATTTTTCTCTTTACTTTCACATGTGTGAGAAAGAAAGCTAGCCATCACCCTAGGATCTCTTCTTACAAAGATACCAACCCCATCATGAAGACATCATTTAAACACAATCAACTCCAAAGGATCCACTTCCAGACACTGGCTTTTTGTGTTAGAACATCAACTGATAAATTTGGCAGACTGTGACGTCCTTGCAGATTCACAGCTCACATGAATTACTCCCTATTCCTGAGTAAGTTCAAAGAAAAGGTCTGAAGAGGTAAAAGCAGGGTTTTTTTATATCTTTTTATTTTTAAATTTAAATTAGAAACAAGGTCGCTTCACATGTCAATCCCAGGTCCCTCTCCCTCTCCCTCCCCTCCTCCCATGATCTCCCACTAACCCACCCCTCTCTCTTCCCCCAATCCCCACTCCTTTCCCCAGGGAGGGTGAGGCCCTCTGTGGGAGGTGTTCATAGTCTGTCATCTCATCCAGGGCAGGGCCTAGACCTTTAGATTTTATGGTATTTTGTGGTTTTTCTCCTCCATTGTTTCTGCTACAGAAATCACATGTTCAGAGTTGTTGTGGCTTCCTTCCCTTTGTCCTATGTGTTATGTTGCTAACATTATTATCTCTTTTCTCTCCTTTTCTTAGCCTTCTGCATTATACAACTTCAGCACTCAATCTACAAAGGCAGTTATTCAGCCAGAAGGAGGTGCTGGGATCTGGGCAGAGGCTGTGAATAGATTTGGATTCAGTTATACCTGCCAACTCCCCTATGGAACCACCAGCTTCTGTAGAGTTTGCATTGTAAACTATGATACCTAATGCAATAAAATCTACACCGTTTTATCTGCCAGCAGCTCAGAGCTAATTAGACACTAATTGAAAGAATTTCTCAACGCCTCATTTCACTGTGTAGGCATGGGCAATGCAAGTGTTATTTTGTGTGCGAGATCCTGAGGGTGGGAACCGCACATTTGAAGCTGTGGGAGATGTATCAAGCTCTAAGCACTTAGAGGATGAATGCCCAGGATTCTAGAGTCCTGCATTTCCTAGTTGGGAGTGTATTTCCACAGTCATGCACTGGAGAGCACAGGGCACTGCAAAGAAACAGTGCTTGCCATCCAGGGGAGGTAACCATGAACACTACAGAATGGAAGGCAGTTTTAAAGAAAGGTAATCATAGATGTTGTGATGGTTAATTTTGATTGTCAATTTGGTGAGTATTAATATTGTCATGGAAACAAATCAGATAGCATGCCTATGAAGGATTATTTAGGCTAGGCTAGGCTTGCATCTGTGCTTGTCTGTTAGGAATTGTCTTGATCTTACCTTAGATACAGGCAATAAATCCAAAGGGATGGGGTCCCTAACAGCATACAAAGGAAGAGGTGAGCTGAGCAGGAGTATTCGTTGCTCTCTGCTTCCTAAGATGTGATGTGACCAGCCCTTTCATGCCCTTGATTATGGTAACTTCCTCACCATGATGGACTGTACCCTCCAAATGTGAGCCAAAATAAATGCTTCCATGAGTTAGTTGTTGTTGTCAGTTTCTTGTTACAGTAGTGAGACAGGTAAATAATACTGGTAAATTTTCAGCAAAATTAAAGCTGGAGGCTGTGAAAGAAGAACAAAATTTAGGACGCATCCATCGCAGAGACAGGTTTATTTCAGAATAAGGCAAAGGGGTGTCCTCTTAGGAAGAGGTGAGAGAGCAAACTTCTCTCAGGGAAGGACTCAGAGTCTGGTTAGGGTGATCATAGTAATGGTTAATTAACCTAGGTTGTGCAGGAATGGTGTAGTGGTATCAGTGGTGCTGACTTTGGGAGATAGAAGCTATTAATCCCAGGAGAGAGGGTCTGTTCAGATGGAGTGTAGTCACAGGAGAACTGGCTGGAATGATCCTCCATCATTCTATTGTTTTCAAGGCTCCCTTTACAGTATAGTATGACATGTCAAAGACACTGAGGTTTGGGTCATGAATCACATCAGACAGTTCTGCACATCTTACTTGGGTATGTATTTTATCTTCTTTGTGTTCTTCAGTGATTCCCATATCTGCACCCATAAAGCCATGGTTACAGTGTCCTACAAACTTGAATCTGAGTCCCTTCTGAAGAATACATAATGACAATCAAAATCTTTGGACAAAGAACCTGAGTATATGGCCTTCAGTTTTAATTTTATTTAATTTTTATAAATTAAATCACTCTAACCCATGAAGGCAGCATGGGATATCACTGATGTGGGAGAAGAAATTTAAGGAAGAGAGACTAATTAGATAGGGCAGGGCAGGCAAATAAATTACACCAAGAAGATTGTGATCTTGGGACTAGTCTGGAATATACAGAGACACTGGCTGTGAGAGAAGAGAAGGTATGGAAAAAGGAGAGAGGATGAGAAGAGAGAAGGAAAGGGAAGAATGGAGAGTAGAGGAGGAGAAGGAAGCAGGGAAAAGGGAGGCAGAAGCAGGGAGGGGGAGGCAATGGAGTAGGAAAGAATGAAAGATGAGAGAGGAGGGAGAAATAAGGGAGTGGGGAAGAAGGGAGGGGAGGACAGAGGAGGATCTGGGAGGGGAGGAAATCGGGAGAAGATGAAGAAAACAAGAGGAGGTCTTTCCCTTTTACACCAACTCTGCCTGCAGCTGAGTGGCAGGAATGAACTCACTGGGGCCACAGAGCCTGTCCTTGTGGAAGCTGAAGCTTCCAAGCATATCTTTGGATGTATGTGGTTTGTTTATCACTATAATCTTCACCATCACATTAATAATTGTCTGGTGTCAACTTCCCATTCACTAAATCTAAGAAACTCATTTGGGGGACTTGACCTTGGGTCCTTTGAAAGAACAGTTAGTGCTCTTAACCACCAATCCATGTCTACAGCCCCTGAACTACTTTTTGTTATTTCATAATTATTTTATATACTCATTGAGCAGAGCACATAGCTAAGATAAGCACCCTTACATCACAGTTCTCATACACATGTAAATGGCTGCACCTTGATCAAGAACAAAGAATGGTGGAGTGTGAGAGGTCTCTACAGCTTGCTTGGCATTTATATCAGTCTATGAATACAGACCATCAAGTTTCCAAGACAACACAAATTTCAAAGTAATTATAGTGCTTACAGGGTTATGAATTCATATTGTGCATGCTATATAGATCTGTGTACTGGGGTAAAGTTAGAGGAGGTAGGAAACTCACCTCTCAAGAGAAAGTCTGAGTTAAGTATCTAGTCGGCCTAAATTCACTGTGGAAGGCAAACAATGCCGGGCCAAGTTGGTGTGACTCACAGATTGTTCTCATTTCTTTTCTGTTGCTGGGATAAAGCACTCTTACCAAAAACAGCTTGTGGAAGGAAAAGATTTATTCAGCTTGTCCTTCCAGGCCAGAAATCATCATTGAGGGAAGTCAGGGCAGGAACTCAGATAGGCCTGCTTGCTGTAGAGTCCCGCCTCTGACCCAGGAACACACTTCACAGCTAAGAAGTACAGCAAGAAACATGGAGGATGCTTGCTGGCTGGCTCCCAGACTCATGCTTTGCTAGCTTTCTTATATAGCCTAGTACCATTTGTCTAGGGAGTGGTGCCACCCACAATGGACTGGGTCCTTCTACAACTATGAATAATCAAAAGGACCCCATAGGACATAGCCATGTCCTATATAGTTCTTCAATTGAGACCCCATTCACAGATGACTCTGGGCCATGTCTGGTTGACCTAAATCTAACTAGAACACCAAAGGATGCTTGGCAGATAATTTGTGCTGTGTTTATGCCAAAGAATAAATGGAGAATGTACAGGAGAGGTGAAGGCATGGACTCTACCATCAACTTTTGGAGCAGGTAAGATTCATGTGATAAAAATGTTATTCAAAGCAGAGTTTACCTATAAGGCAATCCTCACTGATCTCTATAAAGACCTATTCCAATTTCTTTCTTCAAGCCCAGAAGAAACGTTTATTTGAAGAAGATGATGGTGATGTTAGTAATGACATCATGAAGTCTTAGAAGCTTAAGGAGATTCTCATAGGAAGTGACCTTTGACTTAGGAAATGGTACTGAGGAAAGCTGCCCCTGCTTCTCTGTACTAAGCAGAGAAGCACATGGGCGGGAGTACCTGCAGGATGTGGGACATTTCATATTCAAATCACGACATAGTTTAAAAGTCCAAATACACAGCAATCACTGAATGTATTTCACAGTTTGGTTCCATCACTTTCTGGCACAGAAAGAAGGAAGAACTGCTGGGAGAATTGGCTGCTCTTTAAACTCAGGCCTGTGAGAATGGATACGTGGGCCAGGGGCTGGGACTTCCCTTTATTAAGATCCCGGTAAGAACGCAAAAAGTCACAAATAATTGCCATGTATGTCTAGTGCCCTAAGTGATTCCCAAGAGCCTCACAGGCCATAGGTCAAAATCTCCCAGCGCCTCCACCTAGGGCCTAAGCTGTCAATCACAGGTATCTGACTTGCAGCAGTATTCAAACCATGGCACCTGCACCTTCTTGAGTGCATCTATGTTCTATTATAGTGTGCTTCCATGGAGATTCAAAAGAAGACATCCACAATGTCACAAGAACATAAAGTATCTTGACCTTTGGTCTTTAGTTTTGAAGGTTCTGAAAGCTGGGGCAGTGGCAGCAGGTGGTGTGTCCCCAATATCCCTGAGAGTCACCATCACACCCTTCACCAGAGGTTCTAGGAAGACGCATAATGCTGACTACTGTGGATTTTAATTGTGTGTGCGGGGGCAGGGGGAAGAGATTGTTCATATATGTGTGAGAATGTGTGTGTGTACGTGTGTACGTGTGTGTGTGTGTGTGTGTATGTATGTGTTAGTAGAGATTCACATGCATGTGTATACGTTTGTGGAGGCCAGGAGACAACCTGGGTGTTGTTTTTCAGTGCTGCATTACTTTTTAGACCAAGTAGGGTAGAGTGGTTGGCTAGCCAGCCCCAGGGATCCCCCCCTTGTTAGCCTCCCCAACAATGGGATGATAAACACACACAGCCCACCATTCCTGATTTTTAGGTTTTTCACATGGGTTCACACAGGTTCCAGTAATCAAGCTCAGGTCCTCATATTTTTGTATGGCAATCAAATTCCCAACTGAACCATCTTCCCACCCCAGCACTTTGAGTTTTTTAAAGAGAACTTTTGGAAGCTGCTAGGATAGTGTAAGTAAAAGAATTAAAATTTAGTGCAAGGAAGAAAAATCAATAGAAACAACACAATCCAGGACTGATGGTGTGTGTGTCCCCTCACAAGTTACAGCACCTCCTGACTGAAGTGTTTTACTCCAAGTTTGTCCTCCTACTGGGACATGAGAGCAATGGTGTCACCTCCACAGATTTGTGTGAGAGACTCAGGCATGGCCTCTGATAAACACTAGGGATGCTTGAAAGGAGAAGCAGGGCCCTGGGCATGGGGCTCAGTTGGTGGTGGTTTGAATGGGACCGGCCCCTGTTTGAGTGCGTGGCCCCCAGGGAATAACACTGTTAGGAGGTGTGGCCTTGTTGGAGGAAGTGTGAGACTGTGGGAGTGGTCTTTGCGGTCACAGATGCTCAGGCTTGGTGTAGTGTGATGTTCACTTCCTGCTGCCTGAGGACACAGATGTAGAATTCTCAGCTACCTCTTCAGCAACTTGCTTGCCTGCACATTACCATGCTTCCTGCCATGATGATAATGGACTAAAAACTTTTGATCTGTAAGCTAGTCCCAATGAAATGTTTTCCTTTACAAGAGTAGCTGTGGTCATGGTGTCTCTTCACAGCAATAGAAACACTAACTGTGACAGTGGGAAAGAATGCTTGCTGTACTAGCATGAGGACCTGAGTTCAAATCCTAGCACTCATACAAGAAGTGGCACACGACGGATATGTCAATAATCCCATAACTGTGTGGGGATGAGACAGGAGGACTGCTGTGCTCGCTGACTGCCAGCCTAGCTCCAGGTTCAGTGAGAGACCCTGTCTTCAGTGAATGAGACAGAGAGGGATAGAGTGGGACACTGCGTGTCTTCCTCTGGCCTTCACATGCATGCGTGGGAATAAACATCCTCACATATGTATATGTGTCTACCACACATACCTACACACATACAAACACATACACACACAACAATATGCATGTATATAAACACATGTGTACATTCACACACATGAACACACACACCAGGAAAAGAAAGGAAGGAACTAGAAGATTAGCTGGCTAAACAACTGATTCCAAGGATCTTTGTAAAAATAAAATATTTATGGAAATATAGGTGATGTGCCTGGTCCACAGCCTGCCCATAATAAATGCTTGCTGGATCTGAATGGGACCATTTCTCTAGAAACATCAACAAACTCAGGACTGCATGTAAGCATCCTTGAAAATCACTGGCATGCATGGGAACACGCCTGTCTAAACAAAGATCCACTTGCTAGAAGAATCCAATGTAAACTCTGGATTAGTTCTTGACCTCTGAACTTAAAGGCAGCTCCTACCCTCTTTTCACATAATACTTCCTTTGTACACACTGCAATCTTGTTCA